AGCCAAATTACTGCGGTTTGAAAGAAAGTTCTGTGGGACTCAAATAAGCATGAGATAAGTCCCATGCATATCACGGGAATATTGCAGTTTATTAATGGGATTTTCTCACTGAAGATCCGAATACTATTCGTCTTTATTCGTCACTATGTTGAAAGCCTCGGCCATGTCCAACGATACAATCGAATTTCGTGTTTTATTGCGTCCTTATTGGACAAGAAAAAGGATCCGAAGTTCCGACCTACGTCAACGATCGAAAATCAGAGACGCCGTTCTACACGCCAGGATATCGAAAATACGGTGGTCCGGACACGTGATGCGCTTCAACGACAACCGATGGACGAGAGCCGTTACCGACTGGATTCCTCGGGACGTCAAGCGCTCTAAAGGAAGACCACTGACACGTTCGTCCGATTTCTTCACGAAAGCGATAGAAGAAAGATATGATGCTCAGCGAATCCCTAGAGCGAGGAGGACCCACTGGGCTACTCTTGCACGCGATAGGGCAAAATGGAAGAGTTGCTGGTACTCGCTCGAGTCACTCGACGATCAACAGGACGACAGGTGATACAGGTGATATTGGACAAATGGTCGTGCACGACGAGCTGCAGTCGATGAGATCAACGAAGTTGAAGCGGAAGACACAACAACAAATCTGCTGAAGAACGCTGGTTTAAACCCTTCTCAATGCCGGAGATCTTGACCTCGAATCTTGAGGATCTTGACCCTCACCGCTGATTTGAATGGTAGTACAAGTGATCCAGATAACCGCGCAATCACTCAGGGCTCCATTACTCACTGCAAAACCATCAGATTTCTGCAAAACAGGGGATGAACTTTCCTGTTCAGTAATACCACGACAAACCGCACCAATGTACAATATGTCTTTTGGTAATAACTTTCACTTTATCTGATCCGTCCTTACACCGCTTTTTTCACTGTGCGGATCCAGTCCTAGCATTCCATGCGTTTTTACTTCTTGAACGTCGTAGAATACCAGTGGAGTGTGTTCTCTTGCTATCCTGAGAATAGCCTGGCTGTGACGTTCCATTCGGCATTCGTTGTTGAATGCTGGAGTATTAGGGGGTGTGGTTCGGCTACACGAGCAAGACGACAAACACCTCAACCATTCGGCCATAGCGCAACACTCTTCCATCTTAGCGCTAAAAAATTACGACATAAGCTCGATAGTCGTGATTAAATGTTGCAGAGAGTCATTATAATTTATGTAGAATATCACTCCTCAACTTTACCTCAAGTAAATCATTATTTATACAACTTAGAGAATTGAGTGGTGAGCAAAAACACGGCCTCAGGCGGGAATCGAACCCGTGTTTCATCCTCTCCGGGGACGCGTGCTCTAACCACTACACCACCGTGGCACATTTGCCCGACCACTCATTCTTCAACATCTCTATGTTAGCTATTGTCTATTGTTGAACAAGGATTTACTGCTAACTCAAATGGGTACTCATATACGGCGACAAATGGAAAACCGATCTCATTCGCTGAACAAGTACTTTTCATAGGAGTGTTAGTAATCATTCGAAAGTTTAAACCTCTGTCTAGAGCCACACGTGGCCCATTTTTCAAAACACCCTTTTATAAAGTTGTAAAATCCAAAATAAAATCACGTTTCCAAAATCCACGATAAAATTATATTTCACACGGTCACGTGTTTTTCTTTCTTATCTCGCTCATAATTCGCTGAACAAAACTCCTTCCTTAAAGTGCTAGGGCTCTTTTGATAAAACAAGTTTCAAAGAACTCATTAATGTGTTTTCTTTCTAAAAAAAACTCTTCTGATAGCGCTATAGGAGAAAGAAAGGATTGGTGCTTTACACCTCGCCGTACAGAGCTCTTTCTTTGGACTATTATTGATCATTCGATAGCGTAAGTTCCAATGATTCCAATGATGTGATTAATTTCTAGAAATATTGCTAGCAGGGAAAGTAAGATCGAGTTTTACATTCTCGGCAAACTTGTTTATCGGTCAGTCCATACGGTCGGAGTGGGACAGGGTGGGCCCAACTAATCGATGGCTTGATCAATAGTCATATGGGATGCAATCTGTTATTTGATTATGAATCTCTTCTCCGCTTTTTAGAAAACTCCAGATGAAACTATGACTCAGATACGCCGAAAGTTCCTCTACACATTCACATGCCTTCCGCGCTTTCAGCGAACTATACGCGTAAGGAAAATGGAGGAGTGCGGAGGGTGTGAAACATAATTTTACTTTGTATTCTACAGAGATAAAAGGGTGATTTCAGAAAAGGGCCACGTAGGGCACGGACCACCTAAATATCAAGCGACTAAAGCTGGTATTTTCAAATGAGATGTAATAGTAACGTTGTTAGAATACACATATCGTCGTAATATCTGATAAATCAAAAATAATTGATACTCATTTCATTTCAGCTGACGATACTTATATGTCAGACGGCGATGAATCAATATTCGACTTCATTCGCTGAAGAAGAATTTTTCATATGAGTGTCAGTAACCATTCAAAAGATTAAATCTCTGACTAGAGCCGTACATGGTCGGTTTTTGAAAAAAAACCTTCATAACGCTGTGACATTTGGAATAAATTTATGTATCCCACCCTCCGCCCGCTTTCATTTTGCTCACATATTCAATTCCCGGGAAGCACGAAAAGCATATGAATGTGCGGCGAAAATCTTGTAGAATTCAAGTCGATCGTTTCATATGAAAATTTTTTACGCGAAGAAAAAATTCCCAACAAGTTCCACCACATATGTCTGTCTGACTCGCCTTCTGTGGGCTGCTCTGCCCGTAGACTAGCCGGTAAACAAGCCCGCCGAGTATGTAAAGCTCGAGATCTCATTTTCCCCGCTACACTGCAGTGATACGGTCTTTCCAGAAAATAGGCACAGCGTTAGAATTATTGATATTTACGCTATCGAATGATTGCTAATAATCCAAAGAAAGAACTCTGTCTGGAAAAGTGTTGAACACAAATATTTTTTCTCCTACAGCGCTATCAGAAGAGCTTTTCTAAAAAAGCAAACATATTTTTGAGTCCTCCAAAACTTGTGCTATCAAAAGATTACCAGCAGTGCATAGAAGCAATTGTGTCCAGCGAAATATAAGCGAGATAAGAAAAAGAAAACCCCCGTGGTTGTGTGAAACCTCTAGCCAGACATTTAAGCTTCCAAATGATTACTAACACTCCTGGGAAAAAACCTGTTCAGCGAATGAAATCGGTTTCTCGTTTGTCGCCGTCTAACATATGAGTGGCCTTAAATGTTTATGTGGAGACACCCAAATACATACCTGAACCTCAAGCGACCGAGTTGAAAAGAATAGGCTAAAAAATTTTCAGGGCGATCTAAGAGTTTCCTTTTTGTTCGTACAAGGTCAACTTATCTCATAGATTTTGGGACATCAACAGTATAACTCCAAAGGTCAAAGATCGCATTACTGAACCTAGGCTTGGCAGTGGAAGGAACGGCAATCGGAAGCGATCTGATAAGTGATGCGTTGGCTCGATCCCCACCGCAACACTCCAGCAATCATTCGACGAACGCCGAACGCTTTGATGAACGCCCTTACCCGGCTACCTCCAGGATTGAAAGGATAATTGTCTTGACAAGCGATCTACGACATTCACAGAAGAGACGGAATCCTCATGCGGCAGCCGAAGCAACACTTGGCATACCGAAGAATTTTGGAAGGATGCCAAATGCGAGGAAACGAATCGAGTACAAAAGTGCTGGAATTCGAGGCCAAAGTTGCGATGAAGGAATAATAAAAAGGATAGAGCTCTCGGCGTTAGCTTGGTGAGCCATGAGCGCGAGATCGAACCATTGACCTCGTGTGCGACCCAGAGCACCTCTAACCACTGCGCCACATGTGCCCATATAATGGATAATAGTACGTAGTGTATGACGGGATAGTGTAAAATAAATAAAATATGGTAAAAAATATTGCGATGTATTAGTCTACGTCATAGAAACTGATGCACTCAGCTGTTAAAGAAACAAACTACAAGCCACAAACCACGAATAAGCGATGGCGGTACTGTACGTGATTTGATCTATTTCGCTGCGGGACCTCCACCACATGTATCCAGAAGGGGTCGGGAAAGTAAATAAAATATGATGGAAATACGGTGATATATTAGTCTACATCATAGAACATGATGCACTTGGCTGCTAAAGAAACGAACTACAAATCGACAAACCACAAAGAAACAATGGGGGTACTGTACATGATTTGATCTATTTCGCCGCGGGACCTCAACCTGATGTACTCAAATGGGCACATGCGGTACCGAATGTGCCGGGCGATGTTCGAGAATAAGGTGAAGCCGGAAAGAAATACCACAAGTGCAACAACAACCTCACCGGGCATCAATACATAGAGTTTTTTGGCGTAAAATAAAGTTCATTGCGGCTACAACACACTAGTTTTCGCCTAAATCAAGCTTTGAAATTTGCCTCTGCAATGTTTGATAGGATTTCTTTTATTTATTCACTTTTTTTAGCATTGTATTGATTTTGTAAGTCTATAGAGAGGCACGTGTGACGCAGTGGTTAGAGGTGCTCAGCGTCGCACTCAAGGGCGATGGTTCGATCCCGCGCCGCCGGCACGCCGAATCTTCCATCACTCGAGGGTCGGTGAATCACTCCATGACTTGTCTGGGAGGATGGCAGCACTGACCTCATAGATCGATAGGCCACTGCGAGTCATTTGAGGGCCAAATTTGCTCAGTCATCTTGGACGACGCTGGATGAAAGGGAGTACTTGGCGCCTCCTCTAGGGATTCATCAACGCCGAGGACTTTTAGAGCCTCTATCCAGTAATATAGACGCCTTGCCGTAAAGAGTGAGACGCGGGTTCAGTCCCTGCCCAAGTTCGAAGGTTTGCCTGAATTATCAATAGATCAAATGATACTCTTTTTATTTAACTGCTTATAGCGGTGGTATGATGTTATAAATATATACCCATTGATGTAGAGCGATATGCAAAACTTTCGCGTCAGGCGGGATTAGAACCCGCACCTCACTCATTTCGGGAATGCGTGCTGTATCCGTTACATTACTGACGCTCTTTTTATCAATATTCTAAAGATTTACACGACCTGTCATCACATTTTTTTACTGTGCGGACCCCACTATTTCTAGCATTCGATTCGGTTTTCTTCGTCTTCTTCTTGAACGACATAGGATACTGGTCGACCGCGTCTCCTTGCAATCTCGAGGAAAGCCTGACTGTGGCATTCCATTGGGGTTCGTTGTTGACTGTCAGGGAGCGCAGGGAAGTGGGGTTCGACCCCGCGCGCACCGCGACGAGCACCACAGTCACTCGGTCATGACTCCCCCTGAACATCTGGACGTATTTGTATTGCGATTTCGTTTAGGTTACAATTGGAAGCTCTGTTCTATCGCATAGATTTTCTATTTTATAGCTAAAAAAACCTGAAATACGCATAGGGTGGCTATGTCAGCGATTCAAGGAAAGCGAAAATCGTCTGGAATGGCAATGTTTGCCGATGGTGTCGAGCAGCCTCCAACAAAAAAATCATCTGGAGGTAAGTCTGTCCAGCAGAATCAGTACTTTTTCGTTATCCAGACACTTGTTTCAGGCCTTTGGTGACAAAGCGTTTTTCACTTTTTTCTCAGACTATCGATAATCGAGCGCATGTGGCGCAGTGCTTAGAGGTGCCCTGCGTCACACACGAGGTCAATGGTTCGATCTCGCGCTCATGGCTCACCAAGCCATTCATCCCTCCGGAGTTGGTAAACTGGTACCAGACAGGTCTCAGACTTGTCTGGGAGGATAAGCAGCACTGACTCGGTTCAGCGGGAAGCCACCGCGAGTCATTGTAAAGGCCAGATATGCATTCAATCACCTCAAACGAAATTAAACATTGAAGTCGAATGCATGGCGCATCCCTCAGGGATTGGTCAACGCCAAGAGCTTTTTCTTTTAATTGTTTTTTATCGATAATCATTCGATAGCTTGAATTTCGGTGATTTCAATACCGTGCTTGGTTTCTAAAAAGGCTTTCCTGTTGGCTTTAGTGACCTTTCACCCTCGGTGCGAACTATCCGGCATCTTTCGAATGGTGCCTCGTGCAGCGGTCTCAAAGTCACCTCGAGAGGGGCCATTTTGTTATTTGTTTAAATATTTTTCTATACTTCACAAGAATTTCTATGTTTTCTTTATTAGAATTGTAAAAGAAACTTCACTGTCGTTCTATGGGTTTTAACGTTGAATTTTTGTCCTGCAGTGCCAAGCAAACCCGTCATGAACTTTAGGCCTAAGCCCGATCTACAGTGCAGAGCGTAATCTTCTTTTTGCTTTTCCAGCGCTTTACGAAGAACTTTTCAGGAATCAAACCTGGTCGTAGAAGAGCCAAAATTCATGTCATGAATTAACTATTGAAAGTCTGTCAAAAGACCATCCATAATCCCTAGACGAACAAATAATGAGCGTTGAGTGAGAAACGTGATCGTATCTTTGCTGCTACAGCTCTCTAAGAAGGCTTTTACAAGCAGAAGTCCTTGTATTGAGATAAACGGAATTTAAGCTATCGAATGACTAGCAAGAGTTGAGGAAAAGACGAAAAAAGGCTCGTCTCTGAGCGGTTGAAAAATGCGTTCCGATAACGGAATATTACCGCTGAATCGTTCGTCGTCTACTATTGTCTGTGCTTGGATGGTTGTTGCAGAGTGTCTCTCTTTAGGATTGTATGATAGTGGTGATGAAGAGGAGGACAAATGTGTTCCGCGAGTAGACGATACAGCAGCAGCAGGTGACACATCATCTTCTCGTGATGAAAACACTACTGATAGTTCTAATGGAACTATGTCAAAGGAATCGGATGCGATAAAGGAAGAAAGTGAAACAGGTACAGCGCTTCGATTGATTTTACTGATTAGTAATGGGTTAGCCCCAAGTTTTTTCAAACTCATTTGTGGGCATATGCATTGATTTCAAGGCATATTTGGTCGAAAGTTTAGTCTCATAGCATAACATCACATAACGGAGCAGAAAATGACGGGCTTACAGTTGTACTCCATTAACAGAAATGTTCACTTGTCTTCCCAAAGCGAAATGTTCCCTGAACTTTACATATTTTTCATTGGAGAGCAATGGGATCTTTTTATGAAAAGTTTTAAAAAGGTTTCCGAGAGTCTCTACCTTCAATTTCAAGTTCCATATCCTATTAGTGCTTTTTTTTTTACTTTCTGCTACTATACATTGTCACTCTTTTAGATTTCCGTCATCTCCCTCTCTTTTTTTCGACCGTTGATTTTTTCAAGTATGTCGTACTTTGAAGATCAAACGAAATTTTTTTTATTTAACCGCTTCTGGCGATGTTATGATGTTGCAATTAGATACCCACTGATGTAGAGCGATGTGCAAAACTTTCGCGTCAGGCGGGACTAGAACCCGCACCTCACTCTTTCCGGGAATGCGTGCTCTATCCGTGAAAAAAGTGATATGTAAAATGTGCGTCAGTAGTGTAACGGATAGAGCACGCATTCCCGGAAAAAGTGAGGTGCGGGTTCTAGTCCCGCCTGACGCGAAAGTTTTGCACATCGCTCTACATCAGATGTCGCACTTTATTCCTTGTTATAACTGGAGGTTTACCAGCATTGATGAGAGAATTGTTAGATCAATGAAAGTTAAGAATAAGTTAACAGATAAGTTCAAACTCATGTGGATTTGAAAGCAACTCATTCATGTCCTGATATGAGTTGTTCTGCTAGTCTTACGTGGTTGCTAATTTTTAGATTGATGCTATAATAACTTACCGTGATGATTTTGTCGCCACTCTATTATCGATGCTTTTGTCTCTTTGATACTTTTCATCTTATAGAGTAATTGTAATTACTAGATCCTCCGGTATTTTCACGGTGAGAGTTTACCGTCAGCAGCCTTACTAACGAATTACTACAGCGTGAATCTTTTTCTTTTTGATATCGCTTAGGAATAGCATTTCGATTCATGTGATAGAGGATAATGAAGTCTTACTATCCGTAGAAAAAACTGCTCCTTCAAAACATTTTCTGATACTTTTACGTAATTTTGTGGCCAAGGCCTCCGCTTTTTTTTTAATCTTTCAGTAGTCGTCCAGTAGCTCAAACCTCGGCGATTTCAGCAGTGTATTTGGTTTCTATAAGGCTTTCCTAGCGCGCTGTACCAGCGAGAAAAATTGAGTTTCACACTTGGGGCGCATAATTGCACGTACTCTCGTCGTTTATTTGGATCTTTTTCTCCGTTTCGTTGAATTTTTAGGTTTTCCGTATCAGAGTTCTAGAAGAAACTTTATTCTAATGCTCTGTGGGCTTGGCTTCTGAATCTCATTTTGTATAGTCATGTAAACCCGCTGTGAAGCCTAAATTTAGCAATGCGAAACGTCTCCTTTTCGCTCTTTCAGTGCTCTATGAAGGTGTTTTCAAGTACTAAACCTAGCTTCATCCGCACCATTAATGCTATTAAACAACCACTGAAGTCTGTTGAAATGCCATCCACATAGTCTAGCAAAAATGTGGTGTTGAAATCGCCATAATTCAAGGTATCGAATGACAATTGAAAGTTTGAAAACGAAAAAGGCCTTGTTGTCAGAGGGTTGAGAAATGGATCAAAAAGTATAAGGGAAGTGTGTCCAGTCTCTTCCCATAGTTGTTAAGGTAAAGTTTGGAATGGGTCTTTTTACTCTGCTACTGAGCTCAGCTATCATTCCTCTTTCTGTGTAGTGTTTTTGTGATCACGAAGTTTTATATTCGAATAATATCATAGATTGTTTTATTATAATCTTTCTGTAGCAGTCGTGTCTTGCTCAAAATTTCATATTCAATCTGTCATTATTCTAAAAATAACGATGACATGATTGTTTCTATTTGCTGTCAGTATATGCAGTCAATTTGATGCAACATTCCAGTTCGGGGATTCTCCAACTTTCGATATTCTACCCATAATGAGGATTGATTAACAATTTGTGGTTTTTCACAGACACGAAACAGGTCACGTCTTAAACCAACAATCAGAACTTATCGGAACAAATTGAAATTTTGATGAACGCTACACTGAAACTTGTTTCGGAAGGAATAAGTGGTTACATCCTTCGTATATTTCCTCCTTACCTTTGTGTTCTTCGTTTATTGGTTCTCAGATTTCTATTATTGTGATAAGTACCTGGAGTATCATAAACCATAATTCTAACTTAGGATTGGAGCCACTGCAGCTTCTTAGCGTTCTTGGATGTAGACGTGGCGAGCGAGAGGACATGCAGGATGCACATCTCTTACTAGACAATTTCGCCTTGGGAAAACCCTTTGTGTTAGTTTTATCTCTATTTTGGTTGACCTCAAACATTACAGAACTTTTCGGAGATTTTAGTCAAGTATTTCAGAAAACGTTGCTCGTTGTATGCAATTTTTGATGGCCATGCTGGGGCTCGCGCTGCAAAGTATTGTGAAGAGCACATCCCTTCAGTTTTGATGAAAAAGTTGAGTTCGTGTAAGTAATTAGGGGTGGCAACTGTCTCTATAAGGCCATGAAAACAATGATATTGACTCGCAATTCCTAGCTCGTTTTTATCTTCCACAGATAACGATTTGAAACTCATGGAGAAAACATTTGAAGCGGGCCTTCGCTGAAACGTTTAAAGCCATTGACGACAGCTTTCTCATCGAAGCAAGGAAAACGTAGGTTTAGGATCGCAATCATTTTGATGTTGTCGATGCACCATAGGAAATCCGTGTTTATTTTTTTGGCTTGAAGAATGCTACAAATCCATGATTTAATGGGTATTCGTCGACGTTTACCGTCTCAGTTCGTAATCATTAAATATCTAGATAAACTATCTTGTCACTGCAGAAGAGCAAGATTTTGTATTTTTTCTTTTTCTTTGTTACAACTGAATATATAGACAACGACGTAACATGTTTACATGTCACGCTTTCTCTTAGTTGTTATCTGTGATGCACAAAACGTTCTTCTTAAGGGTTTTTGTGATCACTCATTTTTAGTCTATCTGTAGCTCAAGTAATGAAGATATTAGGATATGCATCTTATAAAATGCTGTCTTCTCAT